ACTTGTATAGGTGATATCTACACAAAGTTTTCACGTTTATGTAGATCAATAATGGTTTATAGTGGAGAACAAGGAATAAAAAAGGCAAGAAAATATGAAAAGTTTTTTTTGTCTTTTTATCTGTCTCAAATATTTAAAACTTTCTCATGATTTAGGCAGAACCAAATGGGTTGGTGATGTGGATCAAAACAGTTTCGCAATAATTTAGAGTAAACATACCTGTACTTTTTAAAGAAATCTGATTTTTGTTTTTTCAATTATTGAGTGATGCTTCCTATCCTCTCTTTAGATCTTAGCTAGTTTGTTTATAGAGATAATCTAAATTGATTTTCGGCTTAAAGTCTTTATATGTGTAAATAAAACATGAACCAAATACTTCTTAAAGTTTTTTAAATTTACAAAATGCTAAACTTTCTCTCTGTTATTCTGAACATAAAGAGATGGTATTAGAGGTGGTTTATTTCGCTTGAGATATAAGGTCTTTGGGCTCGTACCTTGTATCAAGATTTTCATGGAACAATGCCAAAAACAGATCATTGTCTCTGCAAAATCAGTAAAAGCAAATATTACAGGTTCTTGAACAGAAGTTCATGGATTCGCCAGATGAAGAAGAATGTAACCCTGACCTTGGTAAGAGGGAGATGGTTCGAAGGACCAATTAATAACAAATCACAGAGATATCAAAATTGCACAAGGCAAGAACACAGAATTGTATAACTCAATTAATCAAAGTCATATTTTAAGTTACAAGCACCAAATATTGTAGACAAAACTTGAAAGCACATAATCAACTCAAAACCACTCACTCTCCTCCTATGTTTCTTCATCTTCCAGGCTTCTCACATTGCTGGAAATACACCTGTTTCAGTCCTTAGTTTTACGCCTTTTCTTTCTAGATTTTTGCGACGCACCTGCGCTTTCTCTTTGTGTGGTCGAGGAACCCTGGATGTTCATATAAAAAAAAGAAACTGGTAAGATTTTCAACAAACCAACCATGGTCACAAGGTTACATTTATGAACATGCTACTTCTACCTTTTCCTGTATTTGTGATCTCATCATACCCTGTCTTCGAGCTTTTCTGTTTCCTTTTATCTGCTTCCACCACAGTTAAGAGTTTTGCAAGAATTTGGTTAGGACTCATTGGACGAACTCAAAGCACTTGCTAGAATTTTCTCAAATGTCAAAAAGAAAAACCTGAGATGGCGTCTCTGACTTCTCCACTTCATCCTTCTCGGTTCCGAGCTTTCCTTTTTTCAGTGATCTCTTACCCTGTCTTCGTGCTCTTCTGTTTCCTTTTATCTGCTTCTCCTACATTTAAAATTTTGCAACAACTTTGTTCAAGACTCAATCATAAAAACCCAAAGAACTTGTTGGCATTTTCTCGAAATGTCAAAAAGAAAACCTCTGGATCATCAACTTCTTCATCATCGGTACTGTGATTCTCTTCTTTATGTAATCTCTCCAAATAAGCATGCTTCTGAAATAAGTCAAATTCAAATCAAACTTTTAGAGAAACTACAAGATTGAAGAGAAAAACCTCAAGCAAACCTCATGCATATTACAGACTAAATACTCGTCCTAAATCCAATGCTTTACCTTCGATGAAACATGTGCTTGTATAGATATCTCATTCAGGCAAATGATCTTTGGACAATATCTGCATTTATAAACCGATTTGCATTTGAACATACAACCTAGAATATAGTTCTCTTCCTCTTCTTCCGGTGGTTCTTCTAAATTGAAATCACGATTCTTCGATGTCTTCTCCAATCTCCCTCCATACC